AAATTGCCCTGTACTTGATGACCTAATTGCAGTTCCTCACACGACACTCCGTGTCTCATCTGTCTTGCCACTGTTTATCCTTCATGTTGTAGTGTTCTTTGTCCCAACCTCCAATACTCAGAATCCTTGATTTCCTTTAAAACTCAGCTCAAGCACCACCTCCTCTAGGAAGTCTTTCCTGCTTTCCCTGGGGACTCATGTCATTCCTTTCCATCTACTTTGTATTTATCTTGCATGTTCTGGTTTTATACGTTGTCTCTCTAACTGTAATGTAAGCTCCTTGATGGTGTCTCAATTGAAGGACAGCTTGGTAGCTATCAGGCCTGACTCCCTTGTGCTCACATGCATTCTCCAAGGTCAGTCAAATAGAAGAAAAAAGCACCTACATGACAAAATCAATTACAGGACAAAATCAATTACTTGTTAATAAGATCAATAAGAAAATGACACAAGATCAAACTTAATCTTCTCAATGGCAAGAATTAGTTATGCTTTTTCTTTGTATCTGCAGCACTAAGCACAATGTCTGGCACGTAGTAAGTATTCAAGAATTTACTGATTAATTGATTTTTAGATTTATTATATTTTTGTAATTTTTATTCATCTTAAATACAAAATAAGGAAAGAAAAAAAGAACATTTCTATGTATAGCAGAACATAGGAGAGGATTCAATATAAAGTAATGAATTTCCATTTCAAGAAAATCTATATAATAAATACTACGCATTGTTTTCAGAGTTGTCTGGCTTTTCTTTGTTTCCTTCTAGGTTTTCTTTTCTTTTCTGCTGTGCACTTTTTATTTTTTTCCCTCCCTCTTCACCCCTGCTAGAGAAGGCTACAATTAAACATGGATATATACACATATACACAGATATCTATAAACATACATATATATGTATGTATGCATGTGTGTGTGTGTATATATATATATATATATATATATACACACACACATACACACACACTCATATACATGTATGTAAAACCATTCTACTTGTCATCTCTTTCTCTGGAGGTAGACAGCATCTTCCTTCATTAGTCCAAGTCTTTCCATGTTTTTCTAAAACAATATGCTCATCATTTCCTACACCACAGCAGGATTCCAACATAATCACATCCTATCTGAGAAGTCTGTGAAAGTTTCTTCCCAATTTTCTGTATTCCTTCTATTCTTAGCTATGTTGGTTTTATTTATACAAGAAATTTTTAATTTAAAATAATCAAAATCATCCATGTTACACTTCAACAATACTCTCCCCTTATAATATAGTTCAAGGTCTGATATTGCTGAATCTCCTTCCTTTACATCTTTTTTCCCTAGTTTCTTTGAAATTCCTAACCTTTTGTACTCCCAAATGAACTTTGTTATTATTTTTTCTAATGCAGTAAGACAATTTTTCACTAATTGGGATGGCATTGAATAAACTGGTTAGGAAAACTGTCATTTTTAAAATTATATTAGCTTTACCTGTGCATGAACAATAAACATTACTCCAATTATTTAAGGCTGACTTTGTTTGTATAAAAAGTGTTCTATGTTCATGTTCATGTATTTTTTTTGTCTGTTTTGGTAAGTATACTCTCAGGTATTTTATACTTTCTAGTTATTTTAAATAGTCTAAAACAATATCGATGACAATAGTGTAGTATCCCTATTTTTCCCTTTTAATTAAATCTATCTTAACTTTAACTTTGTCTGAGATCATGATTACTACCCCCTACTTTTTTTACATAATAAATTCAGTTCCAGCCCTTTATTTTATCTTTGTATGTAGCTCTCATTTTTATTGTTTCCTCAATACAACACATTGTTGAATTCAAATTTTTAATCTACTATTTCTACTTTATGGATAATTTCATCCCATTCACAATCTAAGTTACAATTACTTGTGTATTTCCTTCCTTCCTGTTTTTCCTCACTATCCTTCTCTATTTACTCTATCCCTCCTCACTCCTCATAAAACACTTTTTAAACAAATAAAGTCAGACTTAAATAACTGGAGTAATGTTTATTGTTCATGGGTAAGTAAAGTCAATATAATAAAAACATGACAATTTTACCTAATCAATTTATTCAATGCCATCCCAATTAAGTTACTGAAAAATTATCTCACTTCTCTAATCTATTTCTACCCACTACCTTGATCTCCCATTCCCTAACCTACCCACCCCTGTAAGAGTCCCTCCCTCATTCTCTCCCCCCAACTTATCCCCTATCCTTCTCATTTCTTTCTGAATTTAGACTTTTATACTCTTCGAGATTTATGTTGTTCCCTGTTTAACTCATTCCTGATGAGAGTAATGTTCCAGCACTACCCAGCCTCTATCCCCACTTGCTTCTTCTGTGTCAGTTCTTCCTTTCATGCCTCATTTGTATGAGATAAATACTCCTTTTTATTTCTCCCTACACATTTTTATTTTTTTTAGCATCACCCCATTGTACACAGCTCAGCTGAAGCTTTTCTTTCCAACTACCCAAATAATAATGGCAATCATAAAAGTACTGATAACATTTTCACATATAAGAAGTAAACAATTTGACCTTATTGAGTACCTTACGATTGGTCTTTAATGTTTACCTTATATCTCTCCTGGATTTTATATGTCAAATTTTCAATTAAAGCTGCTGTTTTTGTCACAAATACCAGAGAGTCTCTCAGTTCATTAAATGTCCATTTCTTTTTCATTCAAGATTATACTTAACTTTGCTGGGTAATGCCACCTCCTCTGCTCTATGGAATATAGTATTCCCAGACCTATGGTCCTTCAATGTAATAGCTGCTAGGTCTTGTGTAATCCTTATTGTAGCTCCATATTGAAATTTAAATTTCTTGTTGCTTGCAATATTTTCTACTTAACCTGGGAGCTTTGAAACTTGACTATGATATTCCTCTAAGTTTTCCTTCTGGGATCTCTTTCAGGTGGTGATCAGTGGATATTTTTTTCTATTTCTGCTTTGCCTTCTTGTTCGAGAACTTCAGGGCAATTTTCCTTGATAATTTCTTGTATTATTAAATGTATCAAGATTCTTTTTTTTTTTTTAAGTCATACCTTTCAGGCAGTCCAGCTATTCTTATACTGTCTCTCCTTGACCTGTTCTCCACATCAGTTGTTTTTCTGATGAAATGTTTCACATTCTCTATTTTGTTTTATTCTTTTGGTTGTTTTATTATTTCCTGGTGTCTTATAACGTCATTAGCTTCCCTTTGCCTAATTCTACTTTTCAAGGAATTATTTTCTTCCTTAAGTTTTTGATTCTCTATTTCCAGTTGGCTGACTTTCTTTTCATAATTTTCTTTATTTTCTTGGATTGTTCTTATTTTTTTTTCTAATTTTTCCTCAATTTCACCTATTTGATTTTTAAGGTCCTTTTTCAGTTCATCCAAAAATTCTTTTTGGGCTTTGGGACCCTTTGACATTTCACACTGAAAAATGAGTGAATTTTTTAGCTCCACTATCTTCCTCTGAATATGATCCCAGATCTCTATCACCATAGTAGCTGTCTATGGTTGGGTTCTTTCTCCTTTGCTTACTCATTTTTATTGTTATTTTGTTTTATTTTGTTTTTAGCAGCTATTAATATGATCAAGTTCTAGACCTGAGGTATGAGGAATGACGCCTCAAGCTTCAGGTCCTTCTTAATATTATTTTCTGGGCTTTGTCCTGGGCCCCACCTTGGACACTCCTCTCCACAGTTAGGGCATCCAGCCACACTGTCACACAAACCAAACACTCTTGCTCCTTGTAGTCCCTCTGGTGGCTACAAACTACAGCTCTCCTCTCTGCACTAGAACTGAAACCAGGGACTTTGCTCTCCTGCAAGTGTCCACAGCCAGCAGGGTCCCCACCCCTCTGCTATGCACTCACCAGGCCTATGCTAGCTCCTCTCTGGATGGGTCAGGTCAGCACAGCTGTGCTTGGCATCCCCCTACAGTTGAAGTTCCTTCAGTCCCCTCCTGCTCAACTGTCAGACCCCCCACAGTGTCTGTGAGGTGAAAGTTCCTGAGGCTGAGACTGCCTCCCAACCCCAGCTGCCCCCAGGGCTTGTTGTTTGTTGATTCCCTAGTGTCAGCCTGGAGGTATCTGCACTTTACTTAGGCCCAACCTCTGCCCCTGGAGGCCAACTCTTTCCTGAGGTCTTCTCAAGTTGTCCTAGGAGGACACTGCTTTGCTCCAATCTCCTGTTTATTTCTGTTGCTTTATGTTCTCTCTGAGGCAATGTTCTTTCTGTTTTTGTGAGGAAATTTGGAGAGCCGAAAGTTTTCTGACCTACTCTGGCATCTTCCCAGAATCCTCTCTGATTAACTGGTTTTTAAAATAGCTCTATAAGGTTTGCCTGTCAAATTCAACCTTATTCAGAGATATACACATTTTTAGGTTTTTTTAAAAAATATAATTGCTGTTTATGTAGCCTTTTGAGTATATTTTTCATCAATATGGTTTGGAGTTACTATGTTTAATAACTTATTAAAGAGGGTTTAAAAAAAAACAATGTGTAAAAAAGCCTTACCTCATTTGGACCACTTACTATTATCCTAATAGCAACTCATTCCTAATTACAGGTAAAGTACCCAAGAGAAAATAATTATAGACTCTTGAGTATAAGAATGGCAAACTCAAACATAAAGTAACAACAAAAATATAATGATTTCATTTGAATTTCAGTTTTCATGTAACTACTTGTTAAGTGGACTAACCAGTCACAATGTAATTTTCCTATTCTTCTACTCATGGGGGAAAATTTCTAGTTATTGAACTTTCTCATTCCTTAGATTCTGAACAAAAGGAAGTATACTGTATACCAATGTTTCAAGTGCTGAATTATTCTAAAGGAGTGTATTTTATAATGTCTCGAGTTTCTTTAATAAGTTTCAATAAGTAAGTTGACAACTTTAGTTACTCCATAATTACCAAGTTTCTCTGATGCAAAACAAAATATATAAGCAACTCATCACAAAACATGTATTCTATAAATTATAATAATTCCATTGCTTAATTACATATTTTGGTTCCAAAAGTTCACTTGACGGTGGTGAGATCTTTAGTGGAACTGTGATCGATAGAAACGTTTGATGAGAACCTAAAAGAGGTTAAAAAAAACAACTGTTACTTTTTTGTACAATAGAGAAGCATCATGGAGTAGTAGAAAGAAAGACTGCTCAAATCATGGAAGATTTGGTTCAAGTTCCACCTTTGTCTCATACTGGTTGTGGGACCCTCGGCAAGTCACTTAGAGTCATTAGAGTCTCAGTACTTGAGGCAACTCTCTAAGACTAGAAGTTGCAAAGAAGGTATTGACCAGGTTTCAGAATTAACTCACTTACAAGGTTCCTATAACAATGAAATCACAGATTTAGTTTCGATCCCTACTTGTATAACAATATGTTCAACAACTAATGATTTTGCATTTTCCTTTAATTTTTTTTTCTAAAAACTAATTCCAGAATTATTTACCTCAATTTAGTTTTGTTTTGTGAAGGGGAGGAGGAGGGGATGGTCTTGACCTATTCTTTTGATTTCATTGGTACAGGGACCTTTGCATAACTCCCTCCTCTAAAACCTAGAAGCAACTGTGCTCCAGCTCAGTCTTAGAGATTGACAGACTTGCCTAACATCATCCCGTATGTGTGAAAGGTAGAACCTGAACCCAGATCCTCTTGGGTGGACAGAAAGACTAGCACTCTCTCCCCTCTCTCTTCTCTTCTCTTCTCTCTCTGTCTCTCCTGTGCAATCTCATCTCACTGTTCAGCTCAATTTCAAAGCACCCCATCAAAAAAGTCCCTTTGAACTCACTCTCATTCCTTTGTCAGTCTTTGTATACCTGGGCAATCTTAGGCAAGTCATATCAACAGTCTGGGCCTCAGTTTCTTCATCTCTAAAATGCTCAGTTTGGACCAGATGATCTCTCATTTTTTCCAACTCTAAAATACTATTATCCTAGGCTTTTCTGTCTTTTTAAGACCTGTTTTTTAATATATGTTTATAAAATTAAAAGTTTCTTTTTCCCTTCTGTACTGTCTTTATTTCAAGTAATTTATTTCTATTAAGGAATGAATTCTATTGTCTTAAAGATTTCCTCTATGGCTAAGTGCAAAATATGCACCAGTTTTTATGACAGAGAGAATGACATGTACATTTTCAAAGTGAGGTTGTAAAGCTTTAGGTTTCCTTTAATTCTTTTGGCATTTTCTACAACCATCAGAAGCCTTAACAGAATAGTCTACTTACTTTATAAAATGCAATGAACATTCCCAAAAGGCAACAACTAGCTGCTTCTGTCTCTTTATATGTTGCTTTAACACTTTTCTCTAGGCTTGCTATACCATGAGGTTCTAAAGAAATACTGGCTGCTTTTTTTTTCTTTTTTGGGGGGGAGGTGAATGGGGGACTGCCTTTTTGAATGAAAGCACTTTTGTTACCGTGGAAGCTAGACCAGGAACTTGCTGGAGTACCCATTTCTGTGCTCCAGTATCTCCCTGATAGGATTATAGATACTCTGTAACCAAATAAAACAGCCCCTTAAGAAATTTAGAGGAACAGAAAAGTCAATAGAAATGAAGGAAAAAGAAAGACCAATAGGCAGAGACAGAGGAGTGCTAACCAATTTTCCTCCCTTCTCAACCCAGCCTAGTAGCAAGCAACTAATGCTCCTTCCATTTTTACCATCCAGGAATAAGTAACCCTGGTCTCCTATGTGATGTTTTTAAAGTCCCAAAGTCACTGTTAGCAATTACAGTTGGTGTTTCAAAATATTCCTCCAACTTTGAAAAATATATGAAACAAACAGAATTATGGCAATACCTAGGACTTAAGAAAACTATTTTTGTATACTTTGAGGGACCATGAACCTAATGTAAAATCTCACGATGCACTTCTCAGGATTCCTTTGGGATTTCCTAAAGTGGAATTTTGTAACTTTAAATGAAGTGGAAGAAGGGGCAGCATTGATCAAAGAAGAACTTATCAATTGAGTGTCCCCCTCTTTCCCCCCTCCACAGGTTCATTTGATGGTGGAAGTAGCAGGTAATACAAACAACAAAGCACTATGGCCTTAAAGGAAATGAAAAGCAATTACACTTCATAACTTCTCCAACTTCTTGCACTAGAGGGAGGCCGAGCCTTTGATTGTCTGAAGGACCAGCCATGACCCTGGTGACTTTAAGAGAGCATCACATTCTGCAAAAAGTCAATCAAGGCAGAAGAGAATATGAGGAAAGTAAACTCTGACAGTACAGATGGTAGCTAGCTTTAGAGGAAGAACACAGCTCTTGAGGTAATCGCTCTTTGCCATTTTCCTTGTGTCTCTACCAGATGGTAGGATCCTTCCATTCAGGAGGTATTAGATATTCTGGTCATATGTGTTGTCTACATGTATGTCATATTACCAGTGTATTCTATTTATGTGTTACTCTTCCCACTGATGCTATGTATATTTATAGGAGACCATACCCAGCATTATAGGGAGAATGTTTTGTACTGTTCTTATAATACCATCTGTAATGGGTCAGAACTGACCAGACCAGTCAAGTGACTCGGGTCTAAGATTAGAACAAAATGAGACACTCTTAGGTCATTCAAAAGTTAACAAAATGATATTTACTTAACTATAGCAGAGAAAGGACATTCAAAGCAGGCAAATGAAATTTACTGAGGATACAGTCTTCATTCATCTAAGTCCAGCTCTCTTGTACTTCTCTTGGTTATTCTGGTCTGCAGTTAGAAATTTAAGGAAAAAGTTCTAGACCCTCATCTCTTGGCTGTTTCTGCAGTCAGACACAATAAGCTCTTCAATACTTTTTAAAGAAAAGCTAGTCTAACCGGCATAGCATTAGGTTTTAGGATACTGCTAGTACCACACCAAACTCCTTGCTGGCAAGGTCTGAAGTTCTTTTAGAGCAAGGGCTCTTAACCTTGGTTCTTAACCTAGATTTCAAAGTGGTTCCATGAACCTGAGTGAGAAATAATACATCTTTATTTTCACTAATCCATAACTAAAAGCTAGTATTTCTTTCAGTTATTTAAATACATTATTCTAAAAGGGGGTCTACAGGCTTCACCAAACTGTTCAAGAAATATATGACACAAAAAAATAGTTCAGAGATTCTTTTCTAAAGCATCTCCTACCACTTAACTTGACTGTAGGTCTTTTGCTAGACAACCTTGACCTCAGGGACGCAAGAAGCCTGACAAACTCACTCCCCCCTAGAGGAGGGGAGGGAAAGGGTAACCAAATCTTTACTCCTTTAGAAGCCTCTACTAAGGGACTGCCTCAGCTTATTCTGTCTACCCCATCATAAGAAAGCACATCACTTTCTAACATGGCCCTTTGTTATTCTAAGTCCTTTCTGGGGAGGAATTGTCCAGTGACAACTGGGTACTAATAACAGCTAATGATTAAAGTCTATAAAATGAGCTAAAGAAGGAAATGGCAAACCTTTACCAAGAAAACTTCAAATGGAGTCACAAAGAGCCAGACTGAAATGACCAAACATTTATATAGTACTTAGTATGTGCCAGGAACTGTGCTAAGCACTTTACAAATATTATCTCATTGGATCTTCACAACAACCCTGCAAGGTGAATGCTATTTATCCCCATTTAACAAATGAGTAAACTGAGGCAAACAGAGGTTAAATGATCTATCTGCCCAAGATCAATCACACAGTTTGTAAGTGTCTGAGGCTGGATATGAATTCAGGTCTTCCTGATTCTAAGCCCAGCACTCTGTCCACATAGCTACCTAATTACCATACTGACAGTAATGTAGAAAGCCCCCATCAGTTCCTAGTAAGCAGGTTATGCTCCTGCCTTTGCCACTGTTTATTGTCTGTATCTACTCCGCTGGGGCTATGTCTCTGCCCAGAGACACTCAAATCCTATCAAAAGCTACCCAGGCCCTGAGCACCTGTGACACAACCACTGTCCCGATGTGAAGGCAAACACTGCTAGAAATTGGCTACCCTCCTATGCCAAGAGCTTAGTGCTTATAAGCTACTACTATTCCTCTGTGCTAAGGCAAAGGCATTGTCATGCCAGGCATCTGACTCTGCCCCTTATGCTAAGGATAAGCTCTGCCATGGGACTAACTGCTGACCCACTACCAGTGCCAGATAATGACAATATGGGGATCTGATTATTCCCGCACACCAGGGGCCAGCGCTACCGAGGCCTGATTCTCCTCCCTATGCCAAAGACAAGCCTTGTCACAGGCCTGAGATCAGCCACACTGGTCCAAATTTCATCCCTATCCCATTCTGGGGCATGAACACTGCAATATGTTGTTACTGCCAAGGCTTGGTTCTGCCCCCTTATGCCATGATCAACCTTTTCTGCTTTCTACTGGTCCTGATTCTGCCCCCTGTTCAAGATTCCACATTGCCCCATTATACCAGGGCTGAGCATTGGCACAGATGTGAACATGGCTATACTGCCACTGCTGCCCTGTGCTAGGGCAGGAGTGCTGCCAATGCCACTATTGGTGTTGGGCCTTAAGGTCTGCCCCTCCAAGATGGAGCCTCATGATGCCCACTGAGGCAGGGCCTGAGCACTGCTCCTCCGTCCTACTCCTACCCCTATGTCAGAGCTTCCAGAGCTAAGATTTCTTTATTACTCAATGTATTATCATTCAATATTTCTCTATGACATATAACCCTAGAACCAATTCTTTTTTTTTAAGGCAATTGGGGTTAAGTGACCTGCCCAGGGTCATACAGCTAGTAAGCGTCAAGTGTTTGGTCTGAGGCCAGATTTGAACTCAGGTCCACCTGACTCAGGCCTGGTGCTCTATCTACTGCACCATCTAGCTGCCCCCTCCAGAACCAATTCTTGGCCCTCATTGGGAATTTCAATCCCTCTATCTTTCACTACTTTCTCAGATTATCACTCCTACTCTGGCTATACTCTTTTCTCTTTCCAATCTTGGTTTAATCATTTTTTCAACTTGAAGCTATCAAACTCTCAAATCCCATTGTCTTGTCCTATCAAAGTTCATACCTTGACAAATTCTGTTGTTCAGTCATGTCCTGTTGGGTCTGATTCTTCACAACAACATTTGGGGTTTTCTTGGCAAAGATACTGGAGTGGTGTGCCATTTTTTTCTCCAGCTCATTTTACAGATGAGAAACTGAGGTAAATAGGGCTAAGTGACTTGCCCAGGGTCACACAGTAAGTGTCTGAGGCTAGATTTGAACTCATGAAGATGAACCATCCTGACTTCAGCTCCACCAAGCTGTCCCTTGACAAACTCTAACCTTGGATTAATCATACCATATCCTTCTATTGTTACTACTCACATGCTAAAGAACAGAGCTAGAGGAAGTCATGAAACTGTACAGGCTGGATCCACCACAAATCTTTGTTATTAAATCTCAACTACGTCCTCTCTGCAACTAGGCAATCCTTTTATTCCTCCCTAATTAATTCACTATGCCACTAACAACAGCAGCTGTTCAAAACATTCTCTTCTCTCTTCAAGTCACCCACAGTACTCTCTACCCCCTGTCCCTCATTTTGTATAACTCTGAGTTGAGGACCTTGACCAAAAAATCAAGATCATATATCATACCACAAGCTCCCTCTTCTCCCATTATCTTCATCTCACATTCCTTTGACTTTATACCCCACTATCACCATCTTATTCTGGTTACTGACTGGGCAGGTTAGCAGTCTCCTTGGCAAGACAAACACTTACACATGTACCCTTGATCTCATCCCTTCTAAATATTCTCCAACAGATTTACTATATCATCATTTCTCTCTCTTTCCAATTTTCAGAATCTATTAACTATCTCTAAAGCCTACAAACATGCCCAAGTTTTCAATATCATCAAAAGAACGTCACTATATATTTTTTGAATTTTTGCTTATCAAAAATACTTTCATTCTCTTCCTGCCTCCCTCCCATTCCATTGGAAAAACAAAACAAAACTCATAATAAACATGCACAGTTATGTAAAACAAATTCCCTCCCTTTTGTCATTTCATATAGCACAATAATATTCCATGACATTCATATGTCATTTGTTCAGTAATCCAATCCCCAGTTGATAAGCAAACCCTTAGTTTTCACATCTTTGCAGCTACAAAAAGAGATGAAGTAAACATTTTTGAAAATACAGTTCCTTTTCTTTTTTCTTTGAATTCTTTGGAGAAGATATAGTAGTAGTATTACTGGGTCAAAGAGTATGCATAGTTCAGTGATTATTTTTAGGCAAAGTTTCAAAGTGCTTTCCTGAATGGCTGTACCAACTCACAGTTATACCAAAAATGTATTAGTCAGTCTGTTTACCCACAGCTTCTCTAACACTTGTATTTCTTTTCGTCACTTTTGTCAATCTTATGGGTGTGAGGTGAAATGTTACAGTTGCTTTAATTGGCATTTCTCTAATTATTATTGATATGAAACACTATATATAATATGTATGTATAGATAGACAGATAGATAGCTTGGTTTTCTTCCTTAAAAAAAATTCCATTTCATTTTTTTTCTACTATTTTACTATTAGGGAGTGATTTTTTCTTATGAATTTGAATCAGTTCCTTATGTATCTTAGAAATCAAAACCTTAGCAGAGAAACTCTGGCTGTGGTGGCAGACATCTATAGTCTGTGTAGCTGGAGAGGCTGAGGCTAATAGATCACTAAGTCTGGCACAAACATGGTGAGCCTTCAGAAGCAGAGGGCCATGTGGCTGCTTAAGGAAAAATCAAGTTTCTGTGCATGATCAATATTAGGATCAAGCCTATGAGTGGTTGCTGCACTTCCAGCCTAGGGAAAAGAGGGAGTGAAAGAGGGAGGAAGAGAGAGAGAGAAAGAGGAGGAGGATGTAGGAAAAGCAAGAAAAGGAGAAGAAAACATTTATTAAGCAATTATGTCCTAGGTACTGGGGATACCAATACAAAAATGAGGCAGTACTTGCCCCAAAGAGAGAAAGAAAGGGGAGGAGGAAGGGAGAGAGTCATTTGAAAGGTTCTTCTCCTCTTCCCTGCCCCTCCCCCCCATTATATGCTTACTTTCTAGTATTAGCTGTATTGGTTTTATTTGTATAAAAAAACCTCTAATTTTATGTAATTAAAATTGTCCATTTTGTCATCTGTAATCCTTTCTATCCCTTATTTGGTCATTAATTATTCTCCTAGCTACAATCAGATACTATGTTTGTTTACTTCTTCATGTTTTTTTAATAGTATTTTTCCCCAATTACATGTCAAGACAATTTTTAGCATTCATTTTTACAAGATTTTGAATTCCAAATTTTTCTTCCTTCTTCCTTCCCCTCCTTCCTTCTTCCTAAAATGGTAGGCAATTTGATATGTTATACATTTCCATACTAGTCACAATTGTAAAAGAAGAAACAGATCAAAAGGAAAAAAAAACATGAAAAAGAATAAAGCAAATGAAAAAAGTATACTTCAATTTGCATTCAGAGTCCATCAGTTCTTTATCTGGATAAGGATAGAATTTTCCTTTGTGAGTCTTTTGTACTTGTCTTGGATCACTGTGTTGCTGAGAAGATCTGTGTCATTATTCATAGCTGATCATCACAAAATGTTGCTGATACTGTGCGCATTTTCCTGGTTCTCCTCATTTCACTTTGCATCAGTTCATACAAGTCTTTCCAGGTTTTTCTGAAATCTGCCTTTCCATCGTTTCTTAATGAACAACAGTATTCCATTACATTCACATACCACAATTTGTTCAGTCATTTCCCCAATTGATGGGCATCCCCTCAGTTTCCAATGTTTTGCCACCATGAATAGGAATGCTATAAATATTTTTACATTTGTAGGTCCTTTTCCCTTTTTTATGATCTCTTTGGGATACAGACCTAGTAGCAGTATTGCTGGATCAAAGGGTGTGCAAAGTTTGGGCATAGTTCCAAACTGCTCTCCAGAATGATTGGATCACTTCACAACTCCACCAACAGTGCATTAGTGTCCCAATTTTCCCACATCTTCTCCAACATTAATCATTTTCCTGTTTTGTCATGTTAGCCAATCTGATAGGTGTGACGTGGTACTTCAGAGTACTTTTAATTTGCATTTCTCTAATCAAAAGTGATTTTCAGCACTTTTTCACATGCATATAGATACTTTGATTTCTTCATCTGAAAACTGCCTGTTCATACCCTTTGACCATTTATCAATTGGTAAATGACTTGTGTTCTCATAAATTAGACTCATTTCTCTATATATTGGAGAAATGAGGCCTTTATCAGAGATACTTGCTACAAAGATTATTTCCCAGCTTTCCACTTTCCTTCTAATCTTGGTTGTTTTGGTTTTGTTTGTGCAAAAGCTTTTTAATTTACTATAATCAAAACTATTTTACATTTTATAATGCTCTTTATCTTTTGTTTGGTCATGAAAATGTAACTTATTTAACTTCTCCTTTAACAATTTGAATGCTATACCAATTGATGCATATATGTTTAGTATTGATATTATTTCATTGGCTGTGGTACCTTGTAGCAAGATATTTCTTATCTCTTTTAATTAGGTCTAATTTTTCTTTTGCTTTATCTGAGATCAGGATTGCTAACCCTTTTTTTTTTTTACTTCAGTTGAAGCATAACAGATTCTACTCCAGCCCCTTAACTTTATTTTCTGTGTGTGTCTCCGCTTCAAGTGTGTTTCTTACAAACAACATATCGTAGTATTCTGGGTTATGATCCACTCTGCCATCCACTTCTCTTCTATGGGAGAGTTCATCCCATTCACATTCACAGTTCTGATGTAAGTGTTTTACATGACTACAGACGTATAACCTCTATCTTGCCTTCTCAATGGCAGTGGGGTGGGGGGAAGGAAGGGAGAGAATTTGGAACCCAAAGTTTTAAAAACAAATGTTAAAAATTGTTTTTGCATTCAACTTACAGGCAATGGGGTATAGAAATCTATCCTGCCCTACAGGGAAACAGAAGGGGAAGGGAATAGGAGAAGGGGGGGTGTGAAAGAAGGGAGGAAAAGATTAGGGGAAGGGGTATTCAGAATGCATGCCATCTTGGGGTGGAGGGAGCGGCAAGATGCAGAGAAAAAATTTGGAACATTCACAGTTATGATTACTGTGTATTTCCCTGCATCCTATTTTTCCTGCTGTTTGTCCTCTGTCTTCTTCCATCCTTTCCCTCCTCAACAGTGTTTTGTTTCTATCACCTCCCCCAGCATAGCCTCTCTTTTGTCAATCCTCCCTTCTTAATTTAATCTCCTCCTCTCCTACTTTCCTGTCGGGTATGATAGATTTCTATGTTCAACTGATTGTGTATATTATTTCCCTTTGAGACAATTCCAATGAGAGTAAGGTCCAAGTGATGCCCATCACGCATCCTCCCATCTTTCCCTCCACTGTCTTTTTGTACCTCTTCATATGAAGTAAGTTATTCCATTCTACCTCTCCTTTCCTTCTGCATCTAGTGCACTCCTCTTTCTCATCTCTTAATTATTTTATGTCATTCCCTCAAATTCACCTTATACCCACGTCGTCTGTCTATGTGTATTCCTTCTAGCTGTGCTATTAGTGGTACAATTTTTAAGAATTACAAGTATCATCTTCCCATGGAGGGATGTAAACAGTTCAGCTCCATTGAATCCCTTATGTTTCTTTTCCCTTTTTCCCTTATTAGGCTTGTCTTGAGTCTTGACATTGAAGATCAAATTTTTTGTTCAATTTTAGTCTTCTTATGAAAGTTCAAAATCCTTCCATTCCATTGAGTAACCATTATTTTCCTTGAAGTATTATGCTTAATTTCACTGCACAGGTGATTCTTGGTTGTAGTCCTAGCTCCTTTGTCGTCCAGAATATCATGTTCCATGAACTCCAATCCTTTAATGTTGCAGCTGCTAAGTCCTGTGTAACCCTGATGGTGGCTCCCTGATATTTGAATTGTTTCTTTCTGGCCACCTGCACTATTTTTTCCTTCATCTAATAGTTCCATAATTTGGTTATAATGTTTCTTGGCATTTTTATTTTGGAATCTTTTTGCTGAGGTGATCAGTGGATTCTTTCAATGCCTATTCTGCACTCTGGTTTGAGGATATCATGGCATTTTCCTTGATAATATCTTGAAAGATGCTGTCTAGCTCCTCCTTTTGATTATAGCTTTCAGATAGTCCAATGATTCTGACATTGTCTCTCCTGGATCTATTTTCCAGGTTTTCCAGGTCAGTTGCTTTTCCAATGAGGCATTTTACATTTTCTTCTATTTTTTCATTCTTTTGAATTGGTTTGATTCTTGATGTCTCATAGAGTCTTTACCTTTCACTTGCCCAATTCTAACTTTTAAGGAGGTGTTTTCCTTAGTTAGCTTTTGTACTTCCTTTTCCATTTGGACAACTGTACTTTTAAAGGATTTGTTTTCTTCAGTGGATTTTTATATCTCCTTTTCTATTTGGCCGATTACACTTTTTAAATAGTTGTTTTCTTTTTCTAAGCTGTTGACTCTTTTTTTCATAATTCTCTTGCATCACTCTCATTTCTTCTTCCAATTTTTCTCTATCTCTCTTATATGATTTTGGGCTCTTCTGGGCTTGAGACCACATCCCATTTTTTGGGGGGGTTTTGTCCATAGGTGTTTTAACATCATTGCCCTCTTCTGAGTTTGTGTCTTGATCTTCCCTGTCACCATAACTTTCCATGGTCAGATTCTTTTGTTGTTTTTTGCTCATCTTTTTTGGTCTTTTTCCTTTCTTTTAAATTTTATCTTTGTTCTCTAGGTGTCTCAGGCTTCTTGTACCAGGAGCTTCAGACTCTGGCTATTCACCTGGCACTACAGTGATGTTGCCCTGAGACCCATAGGGGACCCTTATGTCTGGTGTTGCACTAAGGGGGTGGCTCTCACTGCTGGAGGCCACAGAGGTCTGGCAGCTTACCCAGTGCTAAGGCTAGAGTGTGCTGAGGTTGGTGGACCATTTCTGTGTTTTCCTGGGGCTACACTGAAGCACATAGTGGTCTGGCCACTGATGGCTGCCTGTTTGCTTAGGCACCTGTAGGGTTGGCATCTACCTGTTCGCCCAGGGCTACATTGAAGCACGGAGTGGTTCTCTGGGCTGGAGTCAGCCCATTCCCCTGGCCATGCTGAGACATTTCCCTGTATTTGCCTCAATACATACAGGGGAATGGGCAGACTCTCCCTCTGAGAACCTCCACATGTTTCAGTGTAGCCCCAGGCAAACAGGCAACTTCTAGTGGCCATACCTCTGTATATTTTGTATAAAATTTGTTCCATTGATTACCTTTCTATTTTTTAAACTGCTCCAGATTGTTTTGATAATTACCACTTTGAAATATAAAGAATGGTGCTGTTAGGCCCCCTTACATCTTTTTTTTTTTTTTTTTTTTAGGCAATTGGGGTTAAGCGATTTGCCCAGGGTCTCACAGCTAGTAAGTGTCAAGTGTTTAGCCTGAGGCTGAATTTGAACTCAGGTCCTCCTGACTTCAGGGCCAGTGCTCTATCCACTATGCCACCTAGCTACCCCATCTCTTATATCTTTTAAGAATTATTTTTCTTAAGATTCTTCAGTTTCTGTTCCTCCAAATGAATTTCATTATTTTTTGGTTTTATAAAGTAATCCTTTGGTAGTTTGATAGGTTGTTGTTCAGTTGTTTCAGTCAGGTCCAACTCTTCATGACCCCATTTGGGGTTTTCTTGACAGACTGAAGTGGTTGCTATTTCCTTCTTTAGCTCATTTTACAGATGAGAAAACTGAGGCAAACAGGATTAAGTGACTTGCCCAGGGTCACACAGCCAGTAAGTACCTGAGTCCAGATTAGAACTCAGGAAGATAAGTCTTTCTGACTCCAGACTTGGTGCTCTATCCACTGGGTGACCTAGCTGCCTACTTTGACTGGTATAAAACTAAATAAAGAAAATTAACTTAGACAGTACTGTCATTTTATTATATTGCTTCTGCCAACATATAAGCAGTTCATATTTAGTTACTTAGGTCTGTTTTGATTACCATAAAGTTTTATAATTGTATTTATATAGTTTCCATGTATATCTCAGTAGGTAGACTCCCAATTGCTTTATACCTTGTACAGTCATTGTAAATGGAATTTTTCAGTCTCTTCTTGTGTTCTATTTGTAACACCCAGAAATGCCAACAGTTTATGTGGATTTAACTTGTGTTCTGCAACTTTACTGGTTACTGTTTCAAATAATGCTTAATAGACTCTCTAGTGTTCTCTGAGTAAACCATCATATCATCAACAAAACACATACAGTTTTTATTTCTTCTTTACCTATATTTCTTTAATTTTTCTCTTCATTATTATAACGAACATTTCGAATACTATGTTAAACAGTCATGGTGAAAATGGACATTCTTGGGTTACCCCTGATCTTACTGGAAAGACTTCTAATTTATCCTCATTACACATAAAGCTGGCTCTTGATATAAAATATTTATTCCTATATTTTCCAGCACTTTTAACAATATTGTCTTTTATCTTGTCAAAAGTTTTTTCTGCCACTACTGACATGATAATGATTTTTATTGTTCTTATGATTAATGTGATCTATAATTTTGATAGTTTCCCAACAGTGAATCAACTAACATTCCTAATATTACTCCAAACTTTTCATAGTGTGAAATCTTTGTGATGTGCTCCTATAATCTCTTGGGTAATATTTAATTTAAAACCTTTGTGTCAATGTTGATTATAGCTATTTTATCTGTTTTAATTCTTCCTGGTTTATCAAGACCATAACTGTGTCATACAATTTTATGAACCTCTCTTTTCCTATTTTTTACACAAAGATAGGATTTTTTTCTTTTGACTACTTGATAGAATTTATTTATAAATCCCTGTGGTCAAGAGTATTTGGATGGACAAAGAGTTGATTTATGAATTGTTCAATATCTTTTTCTGAACTTGGATTATTTAAATTAATTTATTTTGTTATTAAAATCTAGCATTTTATATGTAATTACTGAACTATTTCATTTAAATTGTCAGTCTCATTAGCACATAATTGGGCAGAATATTTACTAATTTTTTATTTCTTGTAAATTCTTTTTCTCATTTTTGATAGTGGTAATTTTGTTTTCCTCTATTTTTCTTCATATTCACATTACAAAGGAATTTATTAGGATTCCTTCTTTTCTTTTTTTTTTTTTAAGGTTGACCTACCATTTTATTTTCCTCTGATCAGTTCAGGAATGTTGATGGGCAGATAGCTCTTTACATAGGCTTTGGAGGGGGTCTGGGGGCAGCCCCAGCAGGTCTGAAGTGGGGTGGGAGTGTCCAAACCTTTCCTGCCTCCTGGGACCGATTCCTCACTACCTTGCTGTGGATCATGCAGCTCACACAGTAATGCAGTTTCACATACAGTTTGGGCAGCACATAGAAGTCAAAGACGCTGGCCTCGGAGATGTCCCTGACGGCCGCGGCTTTCACGATGTTGCAGATGACGAACTTCTTGATGACCTTGTCCTTGGGCACGTAGTGGGCGCAGCTGGTGCATGGGCTGCACGTGGCCGCGGCCCTTCTTGACACGCCCGTTGCTCCTCCTCTTCTTGTCATCTTCGAAGCCAGGAACCAAAAAAGCTTTTCCTATCTTTTCAAATAGCTTTAGTAGTATGAAGTTAAATGTTCTTTGAACATTAAATAGAATCCACTCATAAATCAATTTTGTCCTCAGTGTTTTTGTTCCTGTAGAAGTTAATTTGTGGCTTGTTCAATTTATTTCTGTGATTTCTATTTCCTTTTCTGGGCATTTCATACTTGTATAAAATACGCTCATTTCATTTAATTTGCTTGTTTTATTGGCATACAATTGGGCAAAAGAATTTCTAATATCCTGTATATATTCTTCATTTGTTGTTAAGTTCTTTTCATTTTTAATCCTGATTTCTCTTTATTTAAAGATAAAATTAGCTAATGACTGATGAATTCTCTAAATCAATTTCTAGTTTTATTAATTCAAAACAGATTTGCTTTCAATGTATTGATCTCTTCACCAATTTCCAGAATATCTATTTTAAAATTTTTTTTTCTATTTTAATGTCTTCATCATTGTTGATGAAATTGTTTAGAGATTTTCCCCTAAAGCCTGCTTTGGCTGCATCCTGAAATGTTGTCTGATGAGTGTAATTATCTTAATGAAATTATCTATTTCTAATACTTGTTCTTTGACCCAGCCAAATTATTTTCTTCAATGGTCCATTATTTAATAAAAGGTGTATTACACCGGTAAAAGGTGTGTTTAATTATATCTGTTTTTCTCCATTTGTTTGCTTTTGTAACCTTATGTGGTGAACTTTTTTATAAGTGTCATGTACAATATTAATATGTATAGTCCTTTTTATTCCCATCCAATAATCACCTCTCCATTCTTATGAGAAGTATAAGATGTGTTTCTCTTCTAATGTTTTTTATGGTAAGATCTTTAATATTATGGTTATGTATCCATTCAGAATGTACTGTGGAGTGTGGTGTAAGGTATTGGTTTCAGCCTAATTTCTGCCAGACTGCTTTCCAGTTTTCTCAGCAGTTTTTATCAAATAGTTTCTTCCTACGTAATTTATGTTTTCCACTTTACCAAACACTGGATTGAGTTCTATTGTTTCTGAATCTTTCTTGTCTAGAATGTTCCACTGATTTAGCTCTCTGATATGTTTTGATGACAGACTCTTTTTAATCTAGTGTAAGGTCTGCAAGTGCGATTCCCCCTTTGTCTTACTTCTTTTCATCATTTCCCTTGGTATTTCAGATCTTTTGTGTTTTTTTTTAAGGATGTTATTATTTTCTCAAGTTCTGTAAAGTATCCCCTTGACACATAAAGTAGTATAGCATTAAAAATATAAATAAATTTTGGTAGTACTGTCATTTTTATATCGGAATGGTCTCACCATGGGCACTGAATATTCTTTCAGCTCTTCATAATTTCTTTAAGGGAAGCTTTGTAATTTAATCTGAAAAAGTCTTTTGCATGTTTTGGAGGTTGATCCCTACGTATTTTATGCCCTGGCAACACAGCTTCTTTGCTCTGAGCTACAATTACGGCTTTTCATGCTATTTAACAAGTGATGTTTCTAATTCTTAATAATGGCTTTAATTTCATATTAATTGGTGATACATTGACCCTTTTCATTTTTGATACTAATAATTTAGTTTTTTTTAATCAAATCAACTAATGGTTTATCTATTTTATTGGGGTTTTTTCATGAAACTAGCTCCCAGTTTTATTAGTTCAATGGGTTTTTTACTTTCATTCACTTACTTTATTGATCATTCCATTAATCATTTCATTCATTTACTTTATTAATCTCTCTTTTGATTTTCCATTATTTTCATTTTGGTGTTTAATTGGAGATTTTTAATTTGTTCTTTTTCAAGTTTTTTAGTTACAGTGCCCAATTCACTTACTGGCTTTGTCTCTCTTTTATTGGTGGGCACATTTAGAGATATAAATCTAAGTATTGCTTTGGCTGCATCCCACAAATTTTGGAATGTTCTCATTGTTGTCATCCTCTTTAATGAAATTATTGTTTCTGATTTGTTCTTTGATCCATTCATTCTTTAGGATTATTTTATTTCTAATTAGCTTTTAATCCATCTTTCCATGACCATTTATTAAAGGTAATTATTGCATTATGGTCTGAAAATGGTGCATTTACTACTTTCACTTTTCTGCATCTGGTTATAAGGTTTTTATGCTCTAATACATGGTCAATTTTTGTGAAGGTGCCATAAACAGCTCAGAAAAAGGTATACTCCTTTCTATTCCCATCCAGTTTTCTACAGAGGTCTAACATATCTAACTTTTCTAAAATTGTAGTCATCTCTTTGATTTCTTTCTTATTTATGCTTAAATTTATACAGTTCTGAGGGGAAAGTTGAAGTCCCCCACTAGTATAATTTTACTATTTCTTCCTGTAATTCATTTAACTTTTTAAAAATTAATTTGGATGCTATGCTATTTGGTGTATATATGTTTTGTACTGACATTAGTTCATTGTCTCTGGTGCTTTTTAGCAAGATATGCAGTTTCCCTTTGAACACCTTTTAATTAGGCCTATTTTTGCTTTAGGGCCCCTAAGCAGCACAGTAGATACAGTGCTAGGCCTGGAGTCAAGACG